CCACCATCACAGGTCTCAAGTTCCTGTCCTTTCTTCCAGATGCTGAGCAAGCCTGTGGAGGGTTGGTCTGGCTACTCCACATGGCTGCCTTTGTCCTTGTCCACCTCTCCTGGGGGCATTTGTGGCTTCTTCTGACTCTCACTCTGGAAGACATCTGCACCCCTCTTCATGGCACTGTTTGGTCTGGGGTGGTATCTGAGGCAGTCCCAGCTATCAAGTCCACAGGGAAGAGAAAACAGTTCCCACTCAACAGACCAACCCTCTTCAAAGCAGTGGCTTGGCTCTCCTAAGTAACACAGTGGCCAGGACATGGAATACCGGGGACTCAGTTCTGGCAAGACAAGTGTCCTTCGAGGTGTGCTGTGAAGAATCGACATGTCTTCCACAAAACCGGGTGGAACTGCTCTGTCGTTTTTGATTCACCTGTGTAACACAGAGGACATTTTCTTGAGCATCAGATTCAGAAGTCAGTTATCTTCTTACCCTCTAACTTATAGACCCCTCCGAATTATTACAATGCAGGATGCTGGGGTATAAGTTCATATTCCCAGCAGTTATTTGCATTTGATAAGGAGTGAAGATCTGAAGGTCCTGGTGCTGGCCACCTTTAATCCCCGCTCTGTAAAAGCAGAGCCAGGGGTGGCCTGAACTCTGAGTTCAAAACCACCTGGTCTACAGAGCTTTTTCCAGGACAGTCAGGGCTACATAGTGAAACCCTGTCTTGAAAGACAAACAAACAGGGGTTGTAGATATATATGTGGGATTTATGAGAATGACTTACAGGCTGTGGTTCAGCTAATTCCACAATGGCTGGCTGTGAACTGAAAGACCTAGAGTCCAGAAGATGCTCAGTCCACCACGATGGATGTCTCAGCAGGTCTTCAGTAATTTCTGGATCCTAAGGAAGTAAGCTCTGATGCCAGGGAAGTAATAGACTGGCTAGCACTGTGAGAGTGAGCAGGCAGAGGGCAGAGTGAAAAAGCTTCCTTCTTCCCTTTTCTTATATAGGGTCCCAGGAGAAGGTGTGGCCCAGATTAAGGGTGTGTCATCCTGCCTGGAAATTCGTAATATAGGCAAGTCTTTTAGAGTCCAGGTCTGGATTAAAGGTGTGTGTAATCCCAGCTCAAAAGATCTGCATGAGGGGTTGGGGATTTAGCTCAGTGGTAGAGTGCTTGCCTAGCAAGCACAAGGCCCTGGGGTTGGTCCTCAGCTCTGGAGCATTAAAAAAGAAAAAAAAATCTGCATGAAAGTCATGTCTTTATACTTCAGAGATATGTATTTGTAATGCATCTTCATAGTTTAAGAAAAGCCACCCTAAAAGTGTGCCTTTCTATTCTAGATTTTAAATCAAGAACGTGTGTGTGTGTGTGTGTGTGTGTGTGTGTGTGTGTGTGTGTGTGTGTGTGTTGGCTAAGCATAAGAAGACAGGAGCACCGGGGAGTGCTGGCCGCCTGTCCAAGGAGATTGGGAGAGAAGACCCCAGGGGGTTTTGCTTGGCCTCCTGGAGCGCATTCCTCCTAGGGTCCGCTGCTGTGTACAGGTATTTGGCAGCAGGAAGTTAGGGAGATGCAGGCGGCTTTCAGCGATTTAGAGTAAGCCCTGTACCATGAGTTTCGGCTCCTAAACCTCTTCATTCACTAAGAATAACCAAAATAAACACACAGCGATGCACCTTCGATTATCTGTGTCAATTCTTGTCAATTTTAATTAATTAAATTTTTCAGCCGGTCGTGTCAATTCTTACTTGTTTAATAATTGGTTTCATAAATAATTTCCTGCTGTGTTCCGAACAGTTTTTAAAGGCGCTGATTGCAATCCGGATCGCCGGTTTCTAGGATTCATAGGAATGTTGGGATGGAGGCAGCCGTGCTACAACCTGTAATGAGATCGTGGGTTTGGCTTTAGGCTTTCGGTTTCCGGGACAGCTGGATCCAGGGCGACAAGGCGGTGCTGTCCCTGCTGGCCTTCCTTCTTCAGCAGCCAAGGGACTACAGGCCCCTGGCTTCTCACTTGCACACCCTGGGATTTGCAGAGCCTGGGGATCCTGGGCATTTGAGCTTCCTACACACCGATGGGCGGGCATAGCGGGAGCCAGAGCCAATGAACAAGTCCGAGACAGAAGCCAAATTCGTTCATTCTCAGATCTTCAGCTTGGCCTGGAGGCTGCAGGCTGCCGACCTTTTCACCGCAGGTTTTGCTGTGGGACCAGCATTCTGCTTCGCGGCTATTTCCGGTGGTCAGTGTCTGCGCTTTGAGTTCTCCCAACCCCGGTTCAAAACTTGTTGGAAGAGCTAAGTTCCTATTGGCTGTCAGAAGGCCCTGCATGAATCCAACCGCGAGCTCAAACCATCTACGCGATTTTGTTTCTCAAGTGCTTTCCTTTGCGGCCATAATCAGGATCTGCCAGGCAGGCTGTGGTGGGATTCGGCACGATCTCAGGTCCGGATGGTGTGGGCCGGATGGTTGGACAAAACGGTTGGTGCCCCCCTGCCTCCAGAGGCGGTCAGGACGCCTGGCTTCCGTTTGTTTTCGCGTCCTCTCCGCTCTCCCTCTTTTCCGTCCGATTTCTTTGGTTTGCGATCTTTGGGCAGATTGCCATCAACAAACACCACGTTTTCTGCCCGGCTAGTGTCCCAAGACATCCGCCCCAACCCACCCCCGGACCCCAGTAAGAAAACAAAATCGCTGCCTGTCCAAATCTCCATCCTGCTGCGTTCCTGTCCTCGCGATGACAGTTTTTGGGTAGATCACGATCCACTGCGCCAAAGCGGTCGCCCCAGAACTACATCCCCGGCGTGCACTTATCCCGCAGCTGGCCTGACCACATATCGCTCACACCCTCTGGGTTTTAACTCAGCCTTGGGAACCTCCTCAAGTCCACAGTTTGTCTGCCCTCCTGTTGGTTCACACTGGTGGGGGGCACAGCGGGAGCCAAGGCCAAATGCCAAAATGGTTCACCACAGGGCTCGCTGACACCTGTGTGTTCTTGTGTGTTCTGGAACTCACTCTGGAGTCCTGGCTGGCCTGGAACTCAGATATCCACCTGCCTCTGCCTCCATGGTGCTGGCATTAAAGGTATACTCCCCACCCCACCCCCCCAGCATCTCTTCTGTCTTATTTGTGTGTGTTACTCATGATGTGCATGTGAATGCAGGCATGCTAGAGCCACAGCTCCTTGTGGGGGTCAGGGGAGAACCACCAAGAGTCAGTACTCATTACACCAGGGAAGTCGGAGGTTCAATCTCAGGTTCTAAGGTTGTGG